AAGATTACTTCATTTAGAACATCTGGAAAAGCTTTCTGCTCAATCTGCTTACCTAGAAGGTATGACCTGATTGGAAAGCATACAGTTTTTTTAAGTAAGGACAGCTTTATTTCTAGTTAATAATGCTTTTTGTCATAATTGGAGAATACATACCTAGTATTGAATAAAGCCATCATTTGTACTATAACTGCTTATTGTACATGAACAGCATTACAGGACTGAATCAGAAATTCTCACATTTGAACACATAGAATGATAGAATCATAGAATGCTTAAGGTTGGAAGGGACCTCTAGAGATCATCTAGTCCAACCACCCTGCACATGCAGGGTCACCTAGAGCACGTAAGCCCAAATTCTCAAAATGTTTAAATCTTTTAACTATTGCTTCAAAAATTGATTCCTCCGAATTTCAGTAAGACTTAGGAAACTCAATGCTTGGGGAATCTGGGCCTTAATAACAAAAGGGAAGATGATAATTGCATTTAAGAAAAAGGGATATCAGTAGTAACACTAGAAGGGTAAAAAGAATGGATAGAAGAACCCCAAGAACCCCTGCCGTGCTGAGATGCAAAACCCAGATCATTAATAGGCTTCCGTTATGCCTTAGGAAAAGACCTCAGGAAACGATACTGACTGTGCCTGGCAACTACTTTCTAAGCAATTTTCTCTCACACATTTAACAATTGAGGGTTATGAATGCCACAACTCTGTTACCTCTTTCAAGTTGCTGCAAACTTCTTTCCTGGATGAATTTCATTCAAGTATTGAACATACAGTTTATTGATAAGCTTCTAGGACAGTAGTTAAGAATTGTCTTTTATCTATAGGCACACAGATGTATGCATGCTTCAGGGAGGAATTAATTCGGTTGCAGTTTTGCCAGCATTTTAATGCAGAATCCTAGTCAGTTTTGTCCTTAAACTGTCCTTGCTAAGCCTTATGCATGCAATCAGAAAACGGTAACAAGAAACACTCTGAGGCTTGACTTCTATAGTTCATGCTTTTGATTCCAAATATAGTGCTACTAATTTGCTCAAATAAGACTTCCATGTACTAGTCCTATCTTAAGATGTAGTAAACCAAGATACAAAATACTCTGGATGGAACAATAGCAATTTACCAATCAGTCAACCAATTAGTTCAAAAGACGGTTTTTAAATTCATTTGCAACAATCTAAATAACATAGGATAAAAAAAAAAAAAAAAAAAAAGTTGATCCTTAGGGCTACAAGCACTGGCTTAACAAGTGTATGGAAATAAACTCTTAACACCTACAGAATATTGCAAAAGTGGTTTGATTACATCAGTAGTAGACTCTCATAGCGTCAATATCTTACCCTCTTCTATCCAGAGAAGTGCAAAATACAATTATCTTCTTTACAGAACTTAAAGAGCTCAAAACTAATCTAGCAGATGGCCACAGGGGTATGGGGGGTCAAGTACGCCCAAGGCTGTTTGTCTTGCTCAATATGTATTTTAATTTTAGATTAAACACTTACTTTAAAAGGAAGATACAAATTGGTTCCTTGAGACAACGGAGCACTTAACTTCAGGAGGGGATCTCACACATGGGAAAACAGATCCTTACAGTTCTGAGGTGGTCTGGGATTTTAGATAATCCTCCCTGACATTAATACGTTCCCATTGCCTACCCAGGGTAAGATCATCACAAACTGCACGTTAAGTGCACCAATACTGGGGGTTTCCACTGTTTTGGATCCTGTTCTGCACTGTCTTGGGCACTGTGTTAGACACTCACATTTTGGATAATTAAAATTTGCTCTAATTGAGGATGTAAGTGTGAAAGTTTAAGTTCAACATTCATCTTACTGCACCACAAACATTTGAATCATTTCTAATTTTACATTTTAAAAATATATATCCTTTCCATGTGTATATACACCCATACATATATATGTATATATATTTATATATACACACACATACACATGAATGCGTAATATATGTGAATGTGTAATGAAGTGGGGAACTTCGTTAGAATTTCACTTCAGTGTTACCCAAGCTTGAATTCAGATTTCTTGCTGCATTACAATACTCTATAGATAGGCTAGTCCAAAATCTACCTTTCTTTTTCGTTAGGGAATATACTATAAAATATTTAAGAAACACTAAATCCGACTTTCAGTGAAATGGTAACACTGCTGATTAAACCAAGTAAACTGTAAAAGCTAAATATTCATCCTAGCTACCAATGAAGCATTTCAGCCAAGGAGAGACCTTCTTTTTGGCAGCTGTGAGCAGCCCTGTGTGTCCATTTAGGTCAGAGCAACTGACGCAGGACCCGCAGCATTAACCTAAACTAAAGAACTGTCCCTGACTAAAAGGTTTTATTCGGAACAATATCAAAGCATCTAAGTGTTGCAGTAACACCACACTGGATACATAAATCCCTACCAATCTGGCAATGATTTCATAAATTAGAATGACATTGGGTATAAATGACATCACTTTAAGTATCATATACTGCTGATATACTTTCAGAGTAATCATTTATTAGCAGTTTTCTAATGCCTAACCATTCATCTTTAGATACAGGAACATACATACCATGAATAAGCCTGGGACTCTAAGGTAACGGGATCAGGTCATTGAATGCAACTGCAGATTTTCAGATATTTTTAAGGTGTCAACAAAAACAAGTTTGGCTTGTTCAATTCAAATACATGATAGGTGCCAAATGCATGAGTTTTAGAATTCATTTATCTTATGTAAATATTTCCTTGCAGACTAGTGAGAAATCAGGAGAACGCTTCTTTGTCTTCACATTCATGTGAACTCATGTTCTTACTGATCTTCTCAATGTAACCCAGCAGTTTGAGCAATGCAGAAGGATTGTATGGGAAAAGATTTCTTCTCTGCAACCTCGAAATAGCTATTTGCAGTTCTTCCAAACATGCAGTTGATTTGCAAAGCATTATTCTTAGAGGAAGGATGTTATCTGAAGGCACTGTACAAGCCAGAAAGGATGAGGTATTAGATCCCTTTTGTTTCAGGGGCAACACTTGAGATTTGAGTGCATTTTGTTTATCATCTATGCAGCTGCAAACCGGTTCCCTTATCTTTGCCTTGCCCTCGTAATTTAAAGGCATCTGCTTTGTTTTTACCACACTCTCTTTTCCAACTGGCTCTTGTTCAGAATCTTCTGAGCTGTCATAATTAACAAGGCTTTGAAGAGAACCCAGCAGAGCTGGGCTATCAGTGAACGGCAATGGCTGAGACTGGTTGGACTCCACAACTTCATTATCCCCTTGCTCTGTCGCAAATACTAAGTGAGAGGATGCCAAAGATACAGTCTGTGGATCTGGTTCACAACAAGCATTTTGCAAACACATCTCAGTCACATAGTTTTGTTTCCCGTGATGAGGTGGCTTGTCAGAAGAAACAGATTGAAAAGTGCCATGTTTCATATCAAAATGGTTACAGACATTGACAAAATGATGCCAGTCTTCTCTAAGAAGTTTTAAATACCTTACCAAATACTCCAGAAAACAAGTTTCTGATGAAATCAAAAAATCTAGAAGAACTGTGGAATCAAATGCAATACTTTTTAGGAAGAATAAAAAGATACAATGGGGATTACAGCCACTTTCATGCGTAAGGAAGTTCCAGGTTTCCTCCTCTTTTAGGCTTAAGCTATCAGCAGCATCATGCTGTAACCTGAAAAGTAATTAGTGAAATAGATTAAATTCAAGGGAAGTCTAGAATTGTTTAAAAATTCTTATTTTTGGACAACATTACTATTGATCTTTTTTGATGTTTTCAAACACGGATTTTTAAAGCATGCATATCAGATCCTGCTGCACTTAGCTATTTTTATGATACATTTCCAGAAAATACTTTAAGTCAAGTGAAAAACACCTATGAGAATCAAAACAGAGGAACTTGTTTTGTTAGAAGAACTTCCTATGCAAGACCCACGGCTTTCAAATTTGTTCCTTCCTATGGTATGTAACAATTTGATACCTAATAACCCACCAGACACACCTGATTTTGCTGAAAAGAAAATAATGTTTTGATATTAGAAAGACAAAGAATTTAGGCAGGTGTGAGCGCAGAGAATTTAGGAAGCCAGAGCACTTTTAAAGAAAGCTTCCTTAAGTTCTGCAAGGAGTAAAGTTACTTAGAATATATGAACTATTCCATGTTTTTGTAAATCTAAACACAGACAAACTTTCAAGATGCTAAACCTACTGGAAAAAAGTGTCCTACTCAAATGTCCCTTTTTAAAATTTTTTATTCTAAGAAAATACTTAAGATATTTAAGTAACTATCTTTAAATTTGAAATTTGAGGGATAAGAATTTGAGCTCTTAGAAATTAGGATATTATTTTATATGAGAATTTAAACAGCCATGAAGCAGTGAGTGTCCATGGCAAATTCATAAACACCATACTTCAGATGTTAGCAATGTCTTTTTCTTTTCCCAAATCAAGTATATGGAATGAACATGGATCCAGTGCTTAGATGGCTACTATGCCACAAGTCTGAATTCTTGGGTTTTGTTATACTATTGCATTCTTCTCAAACTCTCAGTGTTGAGAGAAGACAGTCTTGCCTTTTACCTTTGTATGATCACCACTTTCTGTCTGTGAAATTAATTATTCCACGTTACAAAAAACAATAAGGTATTTGACATTAAACTTGCACAACTCTCTCAGTTCAATCAATCAAATTATCAGAAAAGATAACAGCTCTTGCACCACACTTTACTACATAGTTTTGAGTCTAATATATGACTTCTCTATGCAAAGTCACTATAAAAAAGTTATGTATTTCACAACAGTTTTGTCAAATAAAACATATGCTAACCTGTGAAATTTTAAATAAATGAGTAATAATGCTTTAGCAGCTTCCCACATATCATCATCTTGCTCTATGAAAATCAAGGAAAGCCATTCACAATGATGTACAACTGGGTGAGAATGTGAGGAAGATGTCAGGTGACCCCTCCAGAATGTCAGCAGCTGGGACATGGAACTCTGAAATTCTCCTGAAAATGGAAAGGAAAAAAAGTAAAATTTGTTCTAGTTTTTTTTGCTTCTAAACAACACACACGCTTTTAAAGTTCAACAGTGCATAACAATGAATGCTATGCATAAAACTTAAGGACAAAGCTATTCATAAAACCATATCGTTGCTCACTCACCCCCCTTGGAGTTCAAGACAAAGTAATCAGAGGGGACCTAAAACTTTTGGGTGCAGTAGGGTGAATCCTATTAAACATCACAGCCTAATGAACAAAATTACAAAAACATGTAGATAGAGGAAGCTTGTAAAAGCTTAACTCCCCCCCCCCTTGCTGGGGTTTCTGTATTTCTTTAGCTTCTTGGTTAGGTAGCTTCACTGGTACATGGCAAACTTGGATTGTATAATCAAGTCAAAGCCACAGATTTAATACGAGCTCTTGGGTGAGATTTCATCTCAGTCCTTCCCACATGAAAGGACAATCCAATTTTAATATTTTAATGGAGTTGAAGCTAAACCTCCTACTGTATGTTTCACTGTGGATAATCAGCTGCAGTGATTTCTACTCTCTGGGAAGAAAAAGTCATTCCTGTAACAAAACAATAATGTAGCATAGTAACAATGAAACCTGTTCTTTATAAAATAAAATCATGAATGATATACAGCCATGTACATTTCTCAAGTATGTATTAGCTTGGAGTAAAGATACATTCATGTGATGGCACAAAATCTTTGCTAAAAGAACTGAATTTGCCAACCTCAATGTAGTACATGCAATGTTTTTTATGCAAATCTTCAGTACGGATTTCCCACACACTAAACACTGCACTCCTGAACACAAAAACCATCTCCAAACTTAGCTTCTCAACATTTTAGCAAAGTGTTTTCTTTTGAACGTTAAGTCATATAATTGAGCTGTAGGCTGCTCCTCATAAAGTCAAGAAACTTACCTGCTCAGTGCTAATGGCACACTGTAAAAAACTTAGCAGGTCTGAAGCTAGGTACCATTTTTTCAAATAACATAGCATATATTCAACATTTAGAAGATGGGGGGAAAATAAAAACACACACAGAGAACAGTAACATACATCTTTACCTAGAAAATACACCTGAGAAGAACTCTCATGCTGCTGGAAGGACACTGTATCTTGAAGAACAAAGCTGAATGTTTCATAGAAATAGTGCTTAATGCTTTTACAATACTTCTTGCAACACAGGAATCAATTTTACTTCCAAAGCCAGCATTATGTGGTTTGCCTGAGCGTTTGATTTTGAGATTTGCTTTTCCTCTTAGCAAAGACATACAAAAAGCAAATTATCTTAGTTATTAATAGTTACTATTCAGACTGAAATTCTTCCCTGTATATCAAAGTTATCTAGAAATTACTCTCAAAACTGAAATGAATTACAATTAAACCTCTCTAATTCATATTAAAAAAAGATTGGATCACCTGGCTTCCCAGAAGGGAAGTCAGCACATTAAAGTATTCTGGTGCTTGTTCTAACCACTTTATTAATCTAACTAAAATGGAAGCACCATTACTTTCAACTTGAAATTTCTTGTGATGGTTACGATATTTGAATCTAGTTTAAAAAAAATAGTTTGTGGCATAAGCCTGGAAAAGAGAAAAAAAAAAAAAAAGAGAGACTTTATTTATGAAAGTCCTTTTTTTTTTTTTTTTTTTTTAAATCAAGAAAAAAAAAGGTATCAAACTACTTAACTACTTTTAGGCTACTTCTATTCACTTGTTCTTGGAGGATCTCAGAATCACTATATGTTTTCAGAAGGATGGCTGTAAGGAAAATACTCTCTACGAATATTTAAAAACTCCAAGAATGCAGCTGGAATCACAAATATGACATCTTCCAAAATCTGGAAAAAGCATCACAGAAGCAGTCTTGCAGAATTATAGCTCTTTTGCACAGTCAGATGAAGAAAAAAATGATTTTGTCTTCTACAGAATGTACAAATATAAAAAGCAGAATGACATCTAGAACTTGTAAAAAATGCCCTAGTACATTTATAATACTAATTTCATTCCTGAGACGAACCTTTGACTTTTCACCCCATTGACACCTGGCTGGCAGTAAGGAGCACCCGTTCTGGCTTGTATTTGACCAGAAATACTGTTTCTGAGCCACTTTTCCCTTTTTGCCCCGGCCTCGGGGCAGGAAGCTGCTTTGCACATGCGCCCACACATGGTTTGGAGTCAGGAGATACACAGGGAAAAGGTGTGGAAAGGAGCAATGCCGGTTGGAAGGAGCAAGGCCTGGAGTGTCTCGCAGGCAGAAGGGACAGGCTCAGCCCAGCTCTCCTTCAGGCAGGCTGTGACCTGGGGCAGTGACCCAGCAAGGCTTCCCTCCCATCAGGGACGCAAATTACACAGACTCCCCTGCCCTGCTCTTCTGATGTTCTAACTCATCTATTCAGCAGTACAAACACTCATGCAGGTATGAAAGGTATGCCTAGCACCTGCCAATCCATGGGATTAGACCTGTTTGAGGGTAAAGAACACCAAATACCTGAGGGGAGAATGCAAAGAGGATGGGGCTAAACTCTTCTCGGTGGTGGCCAGCAACAGAACAAGGGGTAAAGGGTTAATGGAAGTTCCATCTCCGTATGAGATGGAGGGGCCCATATGAGCCCTGGAATGGGCTGCCCAGAGAGGTTGTGGAGTCTCCTTCTCTGGAGATCTTCCAAATCCACCTGGATGCTACCCTATGCCATGTGCTCTGGGTGTCCCTGCATGAGCAGGGGGTTGGACTAGATGATCTATAGAGGTCCCTGCCAACCCAACCATACTGGGACTTTTCCTGTCTTTTACTCCACAGATTCCCTTTATTTTCCCCCCATCCAGAATTGGGATTTTCTGCTCTCTTACACCATTTGTCCGACAGTAGTGCCTAGTATGGTCTACGAAGATAAAGACATAATGGTACTTTACAGGTCTGCCTCCACCTTAGAAAGCAGGAGGGCATTAGGTGCCCTTCCTGTAGTTCTCCATCCACAGAGTAAATGCTTCGTTGATGGGCTCTCTTCTTTCTCAGCTGGTGAGGAGTCTCATTTCCTCAAGCTGGTACTTCTATTTCATATATTTGGAAATGTTCTCAAAAAGAAGGGTTTTCAATGCCAAATGCAGCTGTTTCAACCGCCCTCATCTCTAGGCTAATGCCAGGACCAAGGCAAGGAGACAATTAATAAGCAGCGCACTCGCTGCCTCCAAAGTAGCTCGTTTTTTCACCAAGAGGGATCTGATTAAGCCAAGTCAAACTCACACCTTGCAGAACCCCATTACTCAGTGCAAGAACATCCTCAGATAAACACGGCTTTTGTAAGGACACCGATCCACTTACAGAATCTTCTCTAGATTTGTAAAGGATGCATTTTTTAAGGAGCATAATGAATTTCTTCTTGAATAAATAATGAACTGATGAGCTAATGCAATTCAGGACATAAGAAACCTTCAAAAATAACACTCTCTGGCATCTCAGGGGTACTTCTAACTCAATTCTGGAAGCCAAAAGAGCTTCAAGCAGATCTATGAAGCTGATCAAATTGTTTGCGGCTTCAGAGTAAGCTGAAGTATAGTGGTGACTGTCAAAATGATGGCACAAAATGGAATTATAAAACCCTTCCAGCACAGCATCAAGGGGAGTCAGCAACTTCTTCAAGACACCTACAGCAAAAGGAGAATGTTACGGAGTTACACTTGCTGAAGCACACCACAGACAACTATATCACCTAAAATACTCTCATCAGGTAAGCAGCAAACAGCTGATTGTGATTATTTTCAGTTTTTAAGCATATAAAAAACATTAAAAACTCTGCATTTTTAGTAGTGCTTTGCCTCCCTCTTTTCACCCAAGATAATAACCCCGTGCTATTCATATTTTCAGACCAGGGCTCTGGAGTTTAAAAGTAATATTCCTCCCCCTAGCGGGCACTCATATATTCCTAACACCATAAATTTGCAACAGTACCTGCTTTAGGTAAAACTTTATCTTTCAAAATGTCCCTGATGATGGCTGTAAGAGTCCACATACATTTTGCTGCGTGGGGATTCACAGGGAATTCTGACAGAATCTTCAGACTAAAGGTGAGCCAGGTGACATTTAGTGCATTCTAAAAGAAAAATAATCACAAATGTTTTACAATTGTACAAAATGAATTCAACCACAACACATCATTTTGTAGCTTTTAGAAGATGCAAACATAGTCATAGAGTAAAACAGGTAGAAAAAGAGATCCTTGTACTTCAAATATGTCGACCTGTATTTACAGATGTGAAGTCAAATAATCATGTAATAGAATTTATCTGTATTTTCTAGAAAAGACAAAAGAACAAACCTGCTAATGACACAAGCTGCCCCAAAACCTGATAGTGCTGTAGAAATTAGTAGTCTTACAGTCTTCCCCATATTTGAAATAAATATTACAAACATGCTTCTGAAAAAATCGTCTTCAGAGAAGGAACTAGGGTACAATACATATTCATCAAATATATAACAAGTAGAAGAAATAGTAAATCACTGAAATATTCAGACAACAAACCACAGGAAAATATCTGATTAGCGTTTAGTAGGTTATTGCCTATTGTTGTAACTGCATCATCTAAGAGCTCAATTAACTGTAAACATATTGATAAAATAGCTTATTGGGTTTTGGCAATTTACATACTGCAAGCTTAAAAATAACTTTTTTTTTTTTTTAATGTCTCGGAGATGTGTTTTTTCCCTTTAAATTAGTTTTGGATCTTTATATAGAAAAAATATTCCTCCTCATATTTTGAACTTTACTCTCACTACACCTCCCATCTCCCTTCTTTCCACACATGCTTGTGCCTCTCCTAACACACCTGAAAAATTCTCTTGAAATGTTTATTACTTATCCTTCCTATCAATCATTTCCGATCTCATACCTCTTTATGGGAAGACTATCATATACATATTATCTTGTAGAGCTTTCACCTTGTTCCTGATGCCGAATTGAAGACAGCTTAACAAAACTGCATGACATTTTCATGCTGAACACCAGCAGAGCGTAGATTTGCCTTCCTAAAATTAGAGCAGACATGCAGGCAACACATGCAGGAAAGGAGCACTCCTGGCGTTGCTCCACAGCCTAATTGCAGAATGCACACCTTAAGAAGTATGTATAGATTTTACCCTAGCCAAGTAGTCCTTGCTTTTGTGCCAAATAAGCACTACAAAAAGCAGGTTCTAGAATCAAATGGAAGAACCTGAAGGCAAATATTCATTACCTCATCATCTCCTAGCTGTGGTTTTATCATGCTCATTTAAGGTTTTATTATACTCACCTCTTCCTTCAGCTGGAAGTACACAAGAGATGCTAAACTTTTCGACGCCATATGAGATAGCAGCTGATCAGAACTATTCAACAGCCAAATCTGGAGACATGTGAAAAAAACAACAGAGTATTGAAGTTACAATTTCCTTTTCCTTTACATAAAATTCTTTCAAAAGTTTATAAAAGCTTACCAGTTTTGAGTCAATTTTTGCCTCCTTCAAAAGATGGACAAGGATATTGCAGTACTTCTGTCTTGTATTGGATTCAATTTCCTGAGACTGTACCTTTGCCACCATCATCTGCATCAAGGTTAACTGGAGCAGCATCACTTCTCGTGGGCACAATGAGGAGCTGATGTTTGCAAAGTTATCAGACATATCATCTGTTATAGGGACAGCAGCGCCTGAAATATCAGGGTCCTGATGGCTCCTAATACCACGATGAGGAGATGGCAGATGCATCTGATTACCTGATTCATCTCTTCTGGGTGACTGCTCAACACACAGGTTGAGCGCAGATGTATAATGATGGCTCTCCTTTGCTAGTGGAAGGCCCACCAGCACATCCTTATACATCTGCTGCAGCAGGGAGATCTCCATTATGAGAACAGTAAATATTCTGGAAAATGGCTTACGTCTTCACCAATTACTTCTGGTCACTGCAGATTTGTTTTGAAGATTATCCATAACAGAAACGGAAGCACCATCAGGCCTTTCTCTTCTGCTTTACCTAGAAATAAATATTCCAGTGTTACTGAGCTTAATAGATAAACAGGAAGATACAAAATAACAGCACACACATTTTTAGAGTTAATACTATCCTCGTTAAAATGAATTTGAAAATAAACATTCACTATCTTTTTAGCAGCGAGAGTGATAAACTAACAATCACATAAAATTTTGTCCCAGTGGGAGATTTAAATGACTTAACCTTAAAAAAATGACCACGTAAAGACATTTATAGTTCCTAGTAAGATACTATTGAAACTAAGGCTGATTTGATGAGTCTAATGCAAACAAGAATAACTACTATTAGCACTTCACCTGAAAAAAAATGTAAGAGACTTTTGATCAAAAATTCCTCTACCTTTGTGTAGCTAAACCTCATTGCCTTTGTGCAATTCCTCCAAAAACAGACATGAAGCTGGAAAAAAACCTGAACTAATTTTTTTTATTTGAACAAGAAATGTTTTTTACTACAGTAAGTTAGAGTAGGGTAGCACATCTCAAGAAAGAAACAAATTATCTGCTCAGAAACCTTTTAATAGAGGAAAAAAAGCATTATCTACTGCCAAGTTGAAAGGGGGTGAGTTTTTCTTTATAGGAATTAACTAATTAAATTTACTAATTAAAGACATTTACTTGAAGGGAGGGGGAAAGTCAGCAATTAAATTTGCTTCAGACATAGTAAGAGAGAGCACAGTGAAAAGCACAAAGCTAAAAAGAAAAAAATAAATAAATAAAAATAAAAACATAGCCTATGTATAGCCAAGAAATGACAAACTCCACCCCTTATTTGGGTTATTTATTTGTGTTATTCATGACAGCATCTAGAAAGCAATTAAGATAAGGCCTCACGGTGCCAGACACTTGCATGAACAACAGGGAGCAGCTCTAAAGAGCTTAGCTACAGACAGATCAGGCAGGGAGGATAATTATATAGGGAAAAAATAAATATTTCATTATATATTATTCACAGGACTATTTTTGGCTTTAAAAATTAAAAAAAAAAGTCACGCGGAGCTGCAGACGGAGAGGGAAGAGAATAGATTGGACAGAAAAGGAAATAAAGGAAGAGAAACGAAGGCTCAGACGGCAGCTGATGCTTGTAAGGTTTAGGGATCAATATAAACCAAACAAGCCAAGTTTGGATGGTGGCAAATGCGCCCAGAATACCCTGAAAGGAAACTATAAAAATCAGGGTATTTTTTTTCCAGGGTGAGATGCTTAACATGAAGCCACAGAAACCATGGGCTGGGCCAGAATTAAAAAAAATAAGTGACAGATTTGAAGTATGACGCTACTGTTCCATTTAGTTCTTTTACTTCCTTCTACATTAACGCACTACGACCGCTCGGAGGCACCTGCGAAGGGCACGGAAGCGCCTGTCGGATCGCGGCGCCGGGAGGCAGCACCCGCAGCGCCCG